AGAGAGAGAGAGAGAGAGAGGGAGTTTTAACTATTTATACTTGGAAATATTTGCTTCGCTCTTTAAACAAGGAAAAATAAAAGGTATTTGAAATGACTGATAAAACTCAAAGGGGAGCTCTTGAGAGAATTGTTCTGTTAATATTGTTGCATAATTTTTGCAGTTCTCTTGGCTGTATTTTCATAGTATTTTTCTTTAGCATCTGTCATAAAATTAGCTTTGTGATTTAGAAGAAACATTTAGAAGGATTGTGCTATGCTAGCTGCAGGAAAAGTCTATTTGGAATACTTTACGTTAGTACCAGGTGTGTGTGGGTTTACATTTTTAATAAGCTTTGATTTCACAAAAAGATTAACGTTTGCAGGTATATTCTTTGACATTAGAAATATTTCTATCTTTTACAAGATACTTTGTGTAAATTAAATGCTGTTTTCTTCTAAAAGGTGTGCCTGCTGCTTCCTTGGTAACCCCTGCTGATGTCATCAAGACAAGACTGCAAGTGGCAGCTCGCGCTGGTCAGACAACATACAGTGGAGTTATTGACTGTTTTAGAAAGATACTTAGAGAAGAAGGCCCTTCGGCTTTTTGGAAGGGAGCTATAGGTAGGGAATTTTCTTTATATTTAAAGTCAGACCACAATCCTGCACATTTTTTCTATGTTATTTTACTCAGGATTAACCCCAGCAGTAAAGTTTGCAGGATTGGGTCCTGGTATTGTAGTGCACGGGTTCATTTGAAAATCTCAGACCATCTTTCTTGATCTAATGTTGCTGTATTACAGTATTATTTGTAATATTCAACAGCTCGAGTGTTCAGATCTTCACCTCAGTTTGGTGTTACGTTAGTGACCTATGAACTTCTGCAACGATGGTTCTATGTTGATTTTGGAGGAATGTAAGTGCAAACATTTGCTCACTAACATGCAAACTGGGTATGCCAAGTTATAATTCATACAGAGCCTTCGGAGAACTAAATGGAAAGAATATGTTGAAACAGATGTAGTTAAACTTAATGATATTGATTAACTATAAATCAGAATGCCAGCATTTTGTTTTAATTGTACCCTGCACAACCCCCCCTCCCACCACTTATATTACTAGTAACATCTTTGGGTATTAAAATTGAAAGAGCTTAAACAAATCAAATTGACTTGATTTGTATACTATTTCACTGTCTAAGCAACATGAAGTATGTCAGTTTCACTTTTTTTAATGCACTGCACAAAACTGCTGTATTTAGGTTTCCTACACTGCAAGATGATAATTAAATCCCTCTCAAACTGTTTTCATTAAAATCATTAAAAAATTTTTTTTATTAAAATATTTCTATTTTAAAATATCCAGAAACTAAATTTTAGCCAGAACTACTTGATAGTGGCCTTTAAAGCAAGCTTCCTTTATTTTAAAAACTAATCAGAATAATTAACTCCTAACTTTGATGATTTCTATGTTGTAGACAGATGATCATTTTTAGTATTGACTTACTATAGATTCTGCTCTGTTACTCTGGTGCAGGGGAAACATTTTAAATAAGCAACCTTTTCTTTTTTTCTTCTCAAACAGCAAACCCTCTGGATCAGAACCTACCCCAAAATCTCGAATCTCAGACCTTCCTCCTGTTAATCCTGACCACATAGGTGGATACAGACTTGCTACAGCTACATTTGCTGGCATAGAAAACAAGTTTGGGCTTTATCTTCCAAAATTTCGATCTCCTGATGTTGTTTCAGTTCTACCAAAAGTAGCAGCTGAATCCTGAGATGACCTTTCAGCCTAGTATAATGACGCCATGAAAAAAAAAGTTGGAGCGCAGTACTGTATCTATCCAGTCAGCTGCATGTTGCTCTTGCTGAACTGAGAATTCAAGTCAAATCACTCCTATCTATATGATATACGATATGCATTTATTTGTTTCTAAATTAATCATTTGCACACAAGAAACGGATTGAAGCTTTAGTTCTGCATTGATTTCTTTTTCCTAACCAGTGGCATGAACCAGTAACCTTGACTTGGCTTTGCACAGCTTGCACTTAATGTTACTGTACATATTGTACATCTTTGTACAGAGACATCACGGCATCTATACACTATTACATTTCTATAATGGGGATGTGGTTCGAAGCAGTTTGAAATGTACAGAATGTTTTGAAGGTGTTTTTATTAAGAATCATGTGACAATAAAATATATTTAAAGTCATTTCATTTTCTTATATTTGTGTAATTTATAAAAATAAACCATCAGATATTTGGTGTATTTAGTCATAGATTTTTAAGGCCAGAAAGGGACCATTATCGTCTAGCGTGACTTGTCTTAGGGAATAAATCAAGGTATTACCTAATAAAGGCAAAAGCATAAAGATGCAGTTCTGATGGGAAGTTACACACAGGAACTGTGGGTGTGTAGGTGGGGAGGAGTGCTTGGAAACTGTAGGAATTACCTAGAAACTCATGGTAATGCTAACTAGTAACTTTTTGGTAATTCTGAATTCCAGCATATCACATTTAAATTTAGTGAGATTGTATTTACCAGTTATAAGTGGATTTTCTTATGAGCATTCTGAATAAATTTATCCTGTAAATGTACATATCTGAATAGCAAGTAAAATAAGTCCAGGGTTTAGTTTTAGCATATTCGGATGAAATTATTGCCAGGATATGCACTGCTAGTTTGCCAGCAAGTCCCAAAAGTGTCTTATTTGTAATTAAGTAATAAAAGGCCTTGGCCTAACTCATCTTTGATGTAACTATTGTGTTCAGTGGAATCGCCTAGAGATAAATTTGGCTCCTTGTGTAGTCTAGGAAATCTTATCACCCAGAGATTGGATTGGTGAATATTCATATCTCCTGAATTCTGATGTAATCTCTTTTTGTTTAAAAGACACAGCTTCCATTTTATTATGATTGTGCTTTCACTAGCAGTACGAAGTTTGTATTAATGGGCAGCAAGGGGAAATCCTATCCCTGCTGCCAGGAGGTTAACATCTGATCTGCAGCACTGTGTGAATGTGTGCAAACATCTCGGAGTACAGCCTTGCAGACTTACAAAGCTGCTCTATATTCTGCACAGGAGGTTCCTGTAGCTTTAGAAGAATGACTTCTGACAGCTCAGGGAGCTGCAAGCCCTCCTGGCTTTGTGGGCTTGAGGTATATAAGAATTAATCCACTTTGAAATACTTGCTCAGGGAGGAGCTAAGTTCCTTCTTGGTAGGAGGAACACAAGATGGGGAAAGCTAGTTGTTTTGCAAAATCTCTAAGTTCCAGAAAAAATAAAATGAAGGCACCTAGTTGAGTTCCAAAGAAGGGGTGCTGTACTCTGAGAAGATTTCCAGGTATTTTGAAGAAAAAATTATGTAGAACTTTTGCCTCAAGTTTGCTAAATTAAAATTAAAAATTGCTAAATTAAAAGCCCTTTCTGACTGGTGGGTAATTTGATTTTGGAACAATGCAAATGCAAAATTCCAGCCTGACTCACAAGAAGAACCAGGAGTCCCTGCTCATAGTTATAATCTATCACCCTACTGTCATGGGATAGCTGGTCCCTGTAAGCAGAGCAGGACCAGTGCCCCTGTATCAGAGCAGGTGGGCCCAATTAAAGGAGGCAGGGCTACACCTGGGGCTGTAACAGCCTGTCAGAGGAGTAATGATTGGGACAGGCTGTACCTTGCACCACAGGAGAGTGGAGCTAACTTCTATGGGGGAGCCGGCTGACTGAGGACTGGCTGAAGCTGGGAAGCTGCAAGAAGCAGAATTACCAGAGACCTCTGGGAGGAGAGATTGGATAAAGGGTGAGCAGAAAGACTATTTTCTGTTTGTTTGGCTTATGTTTGGACAATAAACCTATTTAAAGGAGACTGGGTCTGACAGTGTGTGCTTGGTAAACTGGGGAGAAGCCCTGCTGTGCCTTGTCTACAAACTGACTTGGGTGGGGACTGCTAAATTAATGCCAAGTTAATGGCTTACTTCCATGTTCTGGGGTTAAGAACTGCAGTAAAATACCAAATGACAGATAAAATGGCTCCTGAGCTCAATCCAGTTGCCACTTAATCTCAGGCAGCTATTTTAATTGAAATAGGTGAAAGTGAAAGGTTTGCAATTCCTTAGGAAACTGTTAAGGAAATGTAATACAGAGAAGAGAGAACTGTTGATTCCAGAAGACAGGCATTGGCCAGGTTTTTATAAGCAGGGTAGAAAACTACCTATCCTACAACTTCAGTTTCAGACACTATAGTTTCTGGGCCATGGTTGGGTTAAATAGCCTCCTGGATTTTTTTTTTTTAAAAGACAACTAGAATTGCCTTGACTTTATTCCAGTTAAATATTTTAGTTCACCTGACAACAGGTGAAGGCCAAGGTTTTAGAGAGCATTTAAGGAAGAAGGAGATTTTTAAAAAAAATGAATAGGAATGCTCAGCCATTCCTGTCTCTGCCAAATAAACTCTTGCAAATCTTCCCTGTGTTTTAGTCACTGTCCAAAAGATGGTAACTTTTGTAGCTGCAGAACTACAGTCAGCTAGAAGTGAGGTTCTTACCCACGAAAGCTTATGCTCCCAATACTTCTGTTAGTCTTAAAGGTGCCACAGGACCCTCTGTTGCTTTTTACATTCAGCCCTTAACTTTTGAGCAAAACTTTCCTTGACTTCAACAGGAATTGAGTGCATGTAATCAAGGCTATTATGGGGCACCCAGTTCCCAGTCCTCGGTCAGAGAATGTATCTGTTTACGTAGTTTGCCTAGGCAAAGGCTTCTTAGGCAGCTCACACTTCTGTATCTTCCAATTTTGTTTTGCTCTATGACAAGTATATGCTTCCTTGAGGGGTAGAAAAATGCTTGGTACCCACTGGCATTTAATCTTTGTCACAGCTTGTTGACTGACTTGAGTTCCGAAATAGTGATTGGACAGTGAGGCTCCTGGGATGATCATTTACAATATCTAGCATCCTGTGACTGGCATGCTGGTTCCTCCATAACTGCTGGCATGGGATTGTCTAAAGAAATCCCATCCACCCTATCCTCCTTTTCATTCCCTAAATGTTTGGGGGGATGGGGTTGTCAATGCAAATATGGTTTGGGAGGAAAAATAAAAATGGTTATAAATTTTGAAGCTAGATTCCATTTTCTAATAAGTTTCCCTAAATGATACCTGACCTGTGGATCAGGATCCATGCTGAAGCCTACCAAGACTCGTATTCATACCTAGTTCTTGTCAGGAGTCCTGTGGAACAGAACTAGTTTACTGTGTTTTTGAACATTTTAATCTAGAATTAGAAGAAATTGTTTTGGAGTGGAGAGGGAGGGGGAAAATAGCTCTAAATCTAAATTCCAGCAGAAGCTGCAAAGCTGTGCTCTGGTCACTAAAAATTCCCATGCCTGGAGGAAGGGACACCATCACATGACATGCCTGTTCTTTATGCAGTCCCTGGGTGTCTCAACGGAACAGAAAGCTACTGTCGTAAGGCTGGTGAAAATATACAGGGCAAATGTCAAATTGAACAGCATGATTTTGGATTGAAAATAGAGGGGGTACTTTGACAAGGCAAAGCTGATGGAAGCCTGAAGTTATTTCACTTTCAAATCTATTGAGCGAAGATAACCTCCTGAAGACACAATTCTGATTGCAGTAGCCACTCTCCATATGAGCTTTGCTCATAATAGAATGAGGGTTTTTCTAATACCAAGAATTGGTAAGAGAACTTCTGTTTATAGCATAGATTAAATAGCAACATCAACCCATTTCTGATTTTGACGTATGTGAAATGGTTCTCCTGGCAAAGAAGTAGGATTGTAGAAGAGATTAAGAACAAATGGCACTAAATAAACTTTGAATGCTCTCTAGTACTAATGCACAGAAGGTGATTTTCACCCATATAGTGAAGCTAGTTAAAGCATTTTCAGCTAAATGGTTTGTGTATTTGTGCGCGTGTGTTTGGTGTGGGGTTGTTTTTTTTTTCCATCAACACCCGAAGCCAAAATGTTTTGCGCTGTGTGGAACAAAAAGAAATGTCAAAACTTCACAAGTTGTTGTGAAACAACTGTCATTCTCCAGCCAGCTCCACTGTTTAGCATAGGGCTCTGCAAAGCTACGGTGATGGTGAAGGCAGCACTCTCCCCATACGTGCCCATTTTCAGGCACTTGAAACTTGCTGGGGGGGGGGGGGGGAAAACCTTTGGGATATAATGTTTCCCCTTGTTCTCGGCCCAAAGGGTATTTTTTGTTTCGTGAAGCACTGGGCAGCTGTTGAGGTTTTCAGAGTATTTGTGCAGGTGGTTAAGTCTGATGTTTTCCACTTGGGTATCTCATCTGGATTAATTTTAAAACTTCAGTCTCCCACTGGATTAAGTTGTCCCTTCAGACAAGTGCCACTGAAGTGTTTTGAAGTGATTTGGATCAGAAATTAAGTTGTTTAAAAATCATGGCATATTTGCAGTCTGGTCCCAGCTCTCCCCACAACCACAGCACAAATGGACTTAATGCAGAGGTCTCCCCGTGACCAGAGTGCCAGCTGAGACACTTTGATTGCTGCTGCAGCCCATGGACTGAAATAGCCTCTGTGATATAGACCCCTCCCACCCAATGTGGCAGAGTTAGCTAGTGGAGCTGCAGAATTGAAGATCCACTGGTTATGGCCCTGCCCTCCCTTTAAAACACCCTTTTGATGCTACCACCGATGTATGGAACAGGTCTGTGGTGGGGGAGGGGAGAGATTCCCATCCTGGGCCGTCTGAGCCCAGTCCCCTGCATAGTGGATGGCTGAGCTTTGCTGCTTTTGGAGTCCTACACGTCTGTATGAGCACCTGTGATTTTTCTGCCAAATATTTTGCATGTGTAGCAGTGCTGCATTCCAGCTCCCTGCATGTCTAATGCACACTGAAATAAACCAGGGCTTTTAGTGCTGTGATTACGTCTCATTACATAGACACAAAGACATGTAATTAGCACATCCAATACTGCATGGCATTTATTTCCATCAAAAATATAGTGCAGTAAGCTGCAGCTATCCTGTGCATGTCCCTGGAGCGCCACCCATCTGAAATGCACAATCAGACAAACACTTGAGATTTGTGTTCTTTAAACCTACGTAATGCTAAGGTTGGTTCCTGTGTTGGATTTTCTATTGTTTTTGTTAAATCCTCAGTCTCAAGTTTGTTTTTGTTTTAAAGTGTGGGTTATATGCTGAAGCTGAAACAAGGAGGTGTAAA